AAAATCCCCCCCTGACGTATACTAGATCTCTCTTGACTTAGAGAGAGGCTCAAAGTTCCCGAGCGAAACTCTGCCAGGCTATTTGAAAATGTGCACACCAAGCTGCGGTGCGAGCCCGGCCCGGGAGTGGCTCCCTCGGTGTCTTGTTGAGCTTCCGCACTGGCTGCTTATGGAGCTCTGTGCCCGTGGGAGACCGCCCGAGATTGAAGAGCGTGGCTTTATTGAGTTGATAACGCTTCGCAGATACGTATCTCGGAGCTCGGTTACCCCTGGGCGCAGGCTAATCTGGTCCCGGGAGCCTCATGGTGGAGCTTTCACCGCCAGACCCAACCATCCCATTCACTAGCCACCCTCCCAAACCCCCGGGTGATGCTAAATTTATCTCATCTGAGGCTTCCTTTGCGGTTCAGGAGATAACAGGTTCGGCATGGGTCTGATTCCTCACCCAAGCTAATTGAACTGGGGGCCTTTCTCAGGGATCAGTTCAAAACCTTGAATACTAATACTCTCTAATGGTCCTGGGATCTTGACCGCCTACCTGTAACGCTTGTAGAGTTGGGGTAGGGGGAGAGCTAGTCTTATCTCTGAGTGGGGCAAACTGACTAGTTAGGAAAAATTCATTCTCAAAGCAGACTCCTTCTTGCCAGGTCTTGGATTAATTATTTCAAGAGGCTTTTGTTTTAAGGCAAGGTTTGGGCAGCATGTGTAAGAATGCCCTCCCCCACCCCCTTCCTCTTGCAAGTAGTATCTAATTTCCTGACAGTGAACCAAGCTATGTGATAGGCGGGCATTGCGGGAGAGGGGGCGGAAGACGGGGGTGAGGCCGAGCTGTGTATCCCGGCATCTGGGAAAGATTCCCTCGGCTGGGAAGGAGGCATTTCCCAGAGTCTGGTCTTTCTTGGCCAGCCCTTCTCTTGACGTCATTCCCACTCCCAGCCCACTCACGGAGATGAAACATTCTGATGTCAGGGCTTGCATAGGTCGGCTGAGACAATGGGGAAGAGACTTCAGGAGAAGAACCGGGGGTGGGGGGTGGGGGGTGGGAGGGGTTGGGGGTTGTCAGGCACACTGGCCTTTCTTCTGAGCAGCCCTCTTTCAGAGAGGTTCTTAGGCCAGCAGAGGACATGCTGCTTTCTCTGTTCACTTCTTAGTGACTGAGAGATCCTGTTCTTTGACTCCAGTGAGGAAGCAATCCCTCTCCCCCACGTTTTGTGAAAATCTCTGAATTCCCCTCTTTCCTGGGTTTGGTGTTCTGTCCAACTTTTAGAGGAAAACTTCACCATCCAAGCAAATGGACCATCTCTTGGCTATGAAGCTCTTCTTACCTACACCCCTATCCCATAAGAGTCCTAAGCTCAGTGACTCAATCCTGGGTTATCAGACAAGAGAAGATGATGAAGATGGACTGCTGAGGCCAAAGTGCCTGCTGAGTGCATACACAAATCCTCTACAATAGCTACTGTCACCCCTCTGCGAGCTCCCAGAATAGGAAACCAAATGAGGTTCTTTGGAACCCCAAAGACACCAGGATCCAACCTGTGAAAGAATGCATAGAGAGCCAAGGCAGATTGGCGGTTAGGTCCTCTTATAGCATCAAATAGTGTTGGGGGCAGGGAGGGATGGAGTTGTTCTTGTTGGGAGGAAGGCCTCATTGATATTGCGGACACAGTTTCTTGAAGGGAAGCCCTAAAACCCTTTTCCAGAATAGACTCAGTCCACCATGATGTCTTCAAGAAAATTTGATTTCCTTTGGCCCATCGAGCAAATATTTGAGTGGAGGGGTGGTGAAAACTTTCTAAATCCTGCTGGAGACTAGAAGCAAGGGCTTATTGTTGGGTATAGCAAAGTTTAGTAGCTAATTATTTCATTGTTTTCAGCTTAATAAAAAAATCTTTCAGGATAAGAATTACGTCTTGTTTACCCACAATGTGTAGGTCATTGCGTAAATCAGGCCTTCAACAATACTTGTTCATTGACTGGTCATCCATTCAGCTGAGGGCAGTTTCTAGGCAATTTTCCCAAACATCAGTCTACTTCGGAGTGTGAGTTCTGCCAAGGGTGCCAGGTTTTGAGAAAATTAGGAGTTATTTATCTGTTAACTAGTTTTTGAGAACCAGCCAAACACTAGACTAGGCACTGGAAAATATCCAAATTGCTTTCCTCAGACCTCAGAGCATTCAGGTTGTTAAGGACTTTCATCTCTGATCTTAGGATTATAGTTGCACCTCCTCTGTGCTTCGTTTGTATGGTGAAACCTTTTTGTCTGGCCCTTGCTGGTTTGGCTCAGTGTTTAGAGTGTTGGCTCTCAGACTGAAGTATCTCAGGTTTGATTCCCAGTCCAGGGCACATACCTTGGTTGCAGGGAGGCAACCAATCAATGTTTCTCTCTGTCTCTCTCCCTCCCTTCCACTGTATCTCTCTTCAAAAAAAAAAAAATCAATGGGAAACATATCCTTGCATGAGGATTAACAAAAACAAAACAAAAAACAAAAACACCTTTGTGGCTTTCTTCTTCCCTAGAAGGTAAAACCATCTACTCATTTTTTCCTTGATTTTATCTTCAGTTTCTATCATGGTACTTGTCATATAGTCAATGCTTAATGTATGTTTGAGTGAAGTTGATGCTAGGAACAACTGGGCAATGTAAGACAATTACTAAGTATTCAAGAGCCAGAACATGTGATAGAGCTGTGAGCACATAGAATTCTGGGAAGAGAAGGTCACTGGAATATCACAAAGACCGAGTTTGGTGGATTTTAGGAAGGCAGGGAGTTTCAGGCAGGTAAAGCTGATGAACAAAGGCATGGAGGCAGTGAGTACAAGGTTGGGCAAGAAGTAGTGAGGAGACAGGCCCACATGGGGTGGTGCTGGAGGACATTGGTGGGAAGGTTAAGAGGGGACCCAGTGCACACATGGTTAGGAGGAATTTAAGCCAGTCATGAGTTTGGGAAATACATCATAGAAACAGAGTAGGAGGATATGAGAGACATGTGGGCTAAATTAGAGGAGGGACTAGACATCAATTAGGCGACTGGATAGGGACTTGGAATAGAATTGGGCCGAACGTCTGTTTGGAATAGGGACTTGGCAATAGAATTGGGCACAAAATATGAAAGAGGTTTGGAGGGAGGCTCATTATATGGTCACTGGATCGATCTAGGGGATGAAGAGAGGTATGAGAAGTACATCAAAGATGACTTCATCTTTCAAGCCAGACTTCTGCTGAACTGTAGCTCTGGTAATTATAATGCTGAATTCTGAAGTATATATTAATGGGTTCTGGCTCCTAACCAAAATGTCAGGAAAGTTCCTAAAACCCATGTTGAGGGCTCACGTACAGAGGCCTTTGGAGCTAGGCCTTGTTAACTGTTGGAATATAGACAGTTCAATGATTGAGTCTTTTTGAAATTAAACTGGTAGCATGAGAATATGCCTGGGATGTAGCAGGTATATGGTAAATTCTCGTTTGCTTGTCTCACCACATTCTGAAACAAGAATGTTATGCTTATCTTTTGGATCACTATGGTATTTTTGCCTGCAAGCATGAATAAACACTCAACCAGCTTATTGCGTATATCCTGTCTTCCCCCCCCCCCCTTTTTTTTTTAAATATTTTATTGAGTTTTTACAGAGAGGAAGGGAGAGGGATAGAGAGTTAGAAACATCGATGAGAGAGAAACATCGATGAGCTGCCTCCTGCACACTCCCTACTGGGGATGTGCCCGCAACCAAGGCACATGCCCTTGACTGGAATCAAACCTGGGACCCTTGAATCCGCAGGCCGGCACTCTATCCACTGAGCCAAACCGGTTAGGGCTTTCCCCCCCTTTTTCCTTATGGTTAAACATTACAGGCAATGTACTGTCAGAACCAGTAGTCCCAAGATAGAGAATGGCTCCAGGACTGGCTAATCTAGCAACTCAACTGATAAAATCTTTCCTCCTCTTTGTTTCCCCTGCCACAGGCTTTATATTGAACTGCTCTCCAGCTATAACTTGGCTGCCACCAGGACAAGTGTTTTGAGCAGACATGACCAAAAAAAAGAGAAAAGGCTTCCCTTTTTTAGCAGACATTTCTCTGTGTTTCATTGGCCAGAATCCTGTCACACACCTACCTCAACACAAAACCCTGGCAAGGGGAAGACGACTATCACAGTTGGTAGACCAACCAGGATACCCCTGAGGTCATGTGAGAAGGGAAGCAACTAGTGGCTAGCCCAGCCGTGGGCAAACTACGGCCTGCGGGCCGAATCCGGCCCGTTTGAAATGAATAAAACTAAAAAAAAAAAAAAAAAGACCGTACCCTTTTATGTAATGATGTTTACTTTGAATTTATATTAGTTCACACAAACACTCCATCCATGCTTTTGTTCCGGCCCTCCGGCCCAGTTTAAGAACCCATTGTGGCCCTCGAGTCAAAAAGTTTGCCCACTCCTGGGCTAGCCAGTGCTTCCCGCACTGAATGCATAGGGCTGAGGACCTTGTTAATGTGTAGATTCTGATTCATTTCTTCTGGGGTGGGCCCAATACTCTGCATTTCAAGTAAGCTCCAGGGAATATCATTGCTACTACGAGACTGCACAGTGAGGCTTTGAGTAGAAACCGGGACAGTAGACAGTAAGAGTAAACTGCAACCCCCACCCCACTTTCTGGAACTCAGCCTTGGAATGAATAATTTCTATTCTGGTCCTATTGCAGCTTGTCTCCTGGAGCAGGTGGCTTCATAATGACAAATGACCTTTGGGGTTGCACTTTGCAATTTACAAAGCATATTTCTTTTTTTTAAAATATATTTTTATTGATTTCAGAGAGGAGGGGAGAGGGAGAGAGAGATAGAAACATCAATGATGAGAGAGAATCATTGATCAGCTGCCTCCTGCATGCCTCCCACTGGGGATCAAGCCTGCAACCCAGGCATATGTGCCCTTGACCGGAATCAAACCCACAACCCTTCAATCCACAGGCCGACGCTCTATCCACTGAGCCAAGCCAGCTAGGGCTACAAAGCATATTTCTTAATGCTGGTTCTCTATGTATTTTTTTTTTTTTGTCCTCTCTGTATTTTCCTTGTTTTCACATAACAGAGTGAAGCTTAGTGAAGTAACCTCATAAAAGGTCACATAGCTAGGAAGAGACGGAGTTTAGAGCCCAAATATACGTTTCCTCACCTAAAGTTCTTCATTTTGCTGCTGCACCGTACGGGCTCTAACTGAAGGAAGTATTTCCATTTTTCTGCCCATTGCCTGAAATCTTGACACCCTGCCCCCCACCCCTCCCCGCCCCACCTTCCAAGATGGGGAATGCAGCTTTAAGTACTGTGTGTAGTAGTCCATTTCATAGATTGGTTACTTGACCCATGATCACATAGCTAGTAAGTATTAGAACTAGAACATGAACTTAAGCCCCAGAATCAGAGGTTTAGGAGCCCAGAGTCTGCCAGTTCTCTCTCCCATCTTTGCTGACACAGAGTACATCAGCCCCAGAGGTACATTTCCCACTAGAATAATATTATTTTTCCTCCCCCTTTCTCTGCAGGGTGTTTCTGCGGCCTGGGACTGGTTAGTACTAACAAGTCCTGCTCAATGCCACCCATCAGTTTCCAAGACCTTCCTCTGAACATCTACATGGTCATCTTTGGTACAGGCATCTTTGTCTTCATGCTTAGCCTCATCTTCTGCTGTTACTTCATCAGGTGAGTGACTCACTGGCTGACCTGGAATGGGGGAGTCCGGGAGGAGGCAGCCAGGGGTAGGGTGAGCTGAGCGAGGCTCACAACGGTCACTAGCCTCCAGCGGGTGTCCTGCTTGAAAGACAGGACTTAGCCAGTCCTTTACTGGGCCCACGAGGCCTGGTGTTTCTGTTTACATCAGCCTATCAAGTTGTCCCAGAGCATATAAGGTCACTATGGGTTGGGCTGCATCCTGCCTCTTGGCCAGTTATGCTAAGGTTGCCTAGACTTACTGTCTGACAAAGTAATGTCATTGATGGCCCTTTAACTGTCTCTCTTCCCACTCACACCCGCTGGGTAGCCGGGGATAAGTAGGCATGAGCTACACCAGTGGCACGTACCTCTGCCCTCCTGGGAAATCTTTCTATGTCCAGCAGATGCTAATATTAGCCAGCTGGTGTCTGGAGATCTGCTTGTTTATTCTGCCTTGGAGCCCTTATTTTTGAGAGTGAAAAAACTAAAAGCCTCCCTTCTTGCACAGGGACCCAGGGAACGACTGGAGTTTCTCCAGGAACTGTTTCTTCTCCTGTTGATAAGACATGGGAACTGTGGCTATTTCCTACCAAAAATGTGGGACATAACTGGAATTTAGGCTGGAAATTAGAGTCGTTTCTAACAAGAGCACTCTTTTGGTGTTAGTCATTCTTCGCTGTATATTGAAAAGTGCTGAGCGCCTCTGACTAGCAGAACATGCTAGAGCCATTGTGATAACTAACCCCCACAAATGCTTGAGTAGATGTCAGCTGGAGTCTAGGCTAGTGTCTGATCAAATCATCTAAGAAGATGAAATTAAGACAGAGGAAGAACGAGATCTGGTTCCCTACGGAGGTGTCCTGGTGGATTTGAGTCCTTCACCCAGAAGGAGGCTAGAGAAGGTGCTTGTCCTATTCTTCAGGCTGGAAGATCTCTCTCTAAGAGGAGGAAGTGCCTGCAGGCCTGCTCCCCAGTGCTCTCGGTTCTTTCTCAGAACTTTAAAAAGTCCCTACGACTAGAATTTTCCACTGAAGCCACTATCTTCTGTAAATACTTTTATTTTTTTCCTCTTGTACAATTGTGTCTAGAATTTGCATCTCACTATTAAGTGGGGGGTGAGGATAGGTTTCTAGTATTGCCCCACTCCCTCGCCTTTCCCCAAACCTGAGTTTTGCTCCTCAAATTTCCATCTGCCTGACCACCAGCCACTCCCATCTCCTCATATCAAGCAATTTGTGCAGTTCCCCAGAGACTGAAGGTGGACACATTCTAATACCAAAGATGATTTGTGTATGATGCTGGAGGAGTCTGTAAAGCCAACTCCACTTGGTCCCTTTACACACACACACACACACACACACACACACACACACGAGCTCACATATGCCAAGCTGCAAAGGTGACCAAGTGAAGAAATCCTAGAAAATCACTCTGGGCCACTAAGTAGATGACCACCAGGGTTCATTTCCTAATTTTGCCCCTAATGGGTGTAACCTTAGATTTTTAGCTATTCTTTACCAAGTGCCATCTGCATGCCAGACATCATGGTTAGCATTTTGTAAAATATTTAGCTCACTTAATCCTCAGAAGATCCCTGCAGTTTAGGTATGAGTCCACTTTATAAATGTCTGATTCTTACTCCTTGACTGTGAAGTGGAGGGGAACTGTGGCTGTGGCCACCTCTTTACAGCTAAAGATTGGGTGTCTGCAGAAGGAGAGGCTGGGAGCTGGGGATGGCTGATTAATTTTTGTTTGGCTGGCCTGAAGGAACAGAGCGACAGAACCGCACGGTGCCAAAAGCTTTCCCGTGGCAGGGCTGCTCGGCACCACCTGTCCCTTCTGCCGTCATCTGCCCCTGCACCACCCCACTCTGCTCTGCAGCTTGCTCCGAGCCAGCCCACCCTGCAGTCTCATGGTTCCAGAGGCTCACTGGTGTGTGGCAGCCTGTGGGCGTCTATATATAGAAAGACACACAAGTGCAGAAGCCACTTCCTCTCCCTGCTTCTTGGTTTCCTCCTCAGCCAAAATAGGCCCATGACCCCTGCTCGTGACCTGGTGAGCTCATTGGCCAACACCAGTCTCCACTCCCAGCTCCCCCGCACTCATTCTCCCCCGGCCCCCAAAGGGCTGATCTCTGCCCTCCACAGGATGGAGGGGCCGGTGAAGTACACACAGGCAGGAAAGGAACAATTATTTTCAGGACCTGGCTGCATTGTTTGTTCCAAAAGGGAAAAGAAGCAAAGGGAGAGCTCACTGGCAGTGGCTGGAAATGGTGTCACTGAAATCAGGGTATTTTTAGCTACTTTGCTCACCCAACAGCTGAAAGGGCCACCTGTCCAATGTTGTTGGCACCATATCCCCTGCTGGGATGGCCCGGCATCTTTGTTTTCTTGTTTTGTTTCCTTTTGCAACCTGTTTGGCCCCATTTCATCACACTCTAAAGCTTCCTGATCCAGAAATCTGCATGCAGGCTGCAGGTGCAGCTTTAAGCCCCTCAGTGTTCTGAGCGTCCTGGGCTCTGAGAGGCAGGCTTCTGGAGTTTCCTCGGATAAGACCATTAAAAGGAGGGCACCCCAGGCATCCGCCCGTACAGCGCGGCGCACACGACACAATAGCCATGTTGCATTGAGGCTCACAATTATGTGTGGCATCCCCTCATTCTCTGGTTAAGAAGCAGGCTCCTCACCGCTTCCTTAGTCACTCTGCTCATACCTGCTCAGAGTGGCTGTCTCCCTCAGAAGGTGGCTGTAAGCACACCCGACTGAACATTTCTTCTTCCCCAGTGTCTGTCGGCTGGCAGGTATGTAAGCTTTGGATGCATCCTTCCCGCCCTTCTCACTGGGACATGGGGACAGAGATGCCTGTGAACATATGAAAGTGCAAAGTCAAGGATGGAGCAGTGGGAGCCCTGAGGAGGCCTTTAGCCCAACCCTCCACTTTAGAAACCCTCCAAAGAGGGGAGAGAAAGGGGACAGATGTGCTGCCCAGGCCTCAGCCCCGTGGCAGGAGCCACTTGGATTGGAGTTCATTCTTTAGAGGGTCCAGGCACATATGGCCTGGCCAGGCCCCCGACTATGGTGTGTTCACCTAATTGGTGAAACAGGCCACATTTTGTGTTAAAGAGCTCGGGCTCTGTAATCAGATAGACTTTCATTCAAATGCTGCCAACTGGCTCTGAAGTTTGAGCAAGTTACTTCTCTGGACTTCCTTTCCCCTCATCTGTGGAAAGGGAAGCCTGTCCCTCTAAAGCTGTTTGGAGTCAGTGGCCATGTACATGAATATGTTAGTGCGGGGATGGGTGCACAGCAAGTCCTCGGTAATGGTGTGCCGTTGCCTTTAGTAACACGTGCCAGGTTTTGGCTCTTGGGAGAGGCAGCATGCAGGCCACCAGCTTGAAACAAAAAGGAGCAAACAAAGAAGGGCTCGCCTGTGTTTTCCTGGCACCGTGAGGGGAGAGTGCTGTTTCCAGAATACTGTGTTCTCCGGGCAGAACGTCCCCCAGGGCCAACAGACACTTCTTTCTTCTGCTTTCCTAGCTTAATGGAAATAGCCCTTTTAAGAATATCCAACTTCTCTACACTCGGTAATTGTTCATCTATAGGGTTTGGGAGCCTGCAGGAATTTACCTCCTGAGAAATGCAGGAAGAGGGAGTCCCCCAGTCGGTGGGACCTGCAGAAAATTTGAGGCTGTTGAGCCTGAGTCCTGAATTCACTCTGGGTGACCCACATAGGTCCAAACCCTCCCCCATAGGGTGAGCCACCCCTGTGAGGAGCACCCGTCCCCACCCCCAGAAGAAGCCAGGCAGCCAGCCTGCCCGCCTGCCTCTCCTACTTTGAATGGCTCTGTTGGTGCCATAGTGACCGCTTCTCTCCTTTTCTTTTTCTCCAGCAAACTGCGGAACCAGGCACAGAGTGAACGATACGGATATAAGGAGGTAAAGCACCTCATCTTTCCCTGAGACTTCCTCCTCTGCTCCTTGTCCTGCTAGAGACAGAAGAGGAGAAGAAGCTTGAGCTGTCCTGGCCTGGAATCCCCCTCAGCCTCCCCTCTGGCCTTCTCCAGGGTTAAATCCTCAAGTCTGGTTGGCCTAGGCCAGCCGTGGGCAAACTACGGCCCGAGGGCCGGATCCGACCCGTTTGAAATGAATAAAACTAAAAAAAAAAAAAATACCGTACCCTTTTATGTAATGATGTTTACTTTGAATTTATATTAGTTCACACAAACACACAAACACTCCATCCATGCTTTTGTTCCGGCCCTCCGGCCCAGTTTAAGAACCCATTGTGGCCCTCAAGTCAAAAAGTTTGCCCACCCCTGGCCTAGGCAGTGCCCAGAGCACCCCCTTAATGGGAGGGAAGGAGGGAGGGAGGGAGGGAGGGAGGGAAAGAGAAGGGAGAAGGGGAGGAGGATCCTGTGCAGAGCTGGGGACTTTCCTCATTGGTTGATACCACCTGGCCCGTGATTGGCTTCTTTGGACACCATGCTGCTTCCTTTGTTCCCAGGTGGTGCTTAAAGGGGATGCCAAGAAGTCACAATTATATGGGGTGAGTGTGTTGGGAAGCCAAGTGGGAGGGGCCCCGTGGGTAAAGCACAGGGCACCCTCAGCTTCCAGCCTGGGCCCGTTCGGGAACCTCTGAAAAGAAGGTCCTTTTTCCCTTGTATATTCACTCTGCCCTGGCAGACTATGGAACTAACTAGTGTGTCCATGCCTGTGGTTCCTCCCTGTCCCCCATCACTCTGCCCACACCCAACAAATCCTGGGTCCCCCTCCACACTGACTCTTTAGAAATAAGCCATTCCTCCTCCTTTCCCACCTGTGCCTGGAGGTCACCTAACTCGCCGCCCAAAACTTCCTTCCATAACCAGGACCTCCTGCACACAGTGTTTGTGGTTGTGTGGAGAAGAGAGCATCCCAGATATCACCAGACACAAGATTACTGAGAAATGGCCCCTGTTTTATCCCTGTTTTTAAATATATTTTTATTGATTTCAAAGAGGAAGGGAAAGGGAGAGAGAGATAGAAGCATTAATGATGAGAGAGAATCACTAATCAGCTGCCTCCTGCATGCCCCCTACTGGGGATCAAGCCTGCCCTTGACCAGAATCGAACCCGGGGCCCTTCAGTCTGAAGGTCGACACTCTATCCACTAAGCCAAACCAACTAGGGCTGCCCTGTTTTTTTTTTATATCTCAACAAGTTCAGATGTTTCCCAAGCCCTCTTCTAGAAGAGTAATTCAGTTGAGATTGAGGGGGTTCATATATATGGACAGAAGGCTGGATTTAAAGAAGGTAACAGACCACATACCCTCACCCTTACCTCTCGTTATTGAGACATGTCCCCTTGCTAAATGTGCTAGGCTAGAAAGCATTAAAAACCATTCTTCTAGAATAGCACTGCCCAATGGAAACCTGTGAAACTGGGGTGGCGATAATGTGTGTTCAGGGTGGTGAGTGGGGTTCTTGCCCGATCTCACACTGCCCCTGCCCCCTTGCTCTCCACAGCAGACCTGTGCAGTCTGTCTGGAAGACTTCAAGGGGAAGGATGAGCTAGGTGTGCTCCCGTGCCAGCATGCTTTTCATCGGAAGTAAGTATCCACAGTGGGGATGTGTGCCCGGGGGTGCCTTTTAAAAGAAATAAGCAGGAAACGTCTTCTAGAACCTACGATCCCTACCTCCTTCCACCTCCCCCTTGTCAGCGATGTCCTACAGCCTGTCTGGACAGCAGGCAAAAGGGAGAGGTTCGATTGCAGTAAGGATAGGATGGTCTGGGTCTGAGAAACAGCTGGACTCTGAATGATAGCCGGCCAGAGCAGGTTGGGATATCTCACGTCTTCTGCTGCCCACAGGTGTCTGGTGAAGTGGCTAGAAGTACGCTGTGTCTGCCCCATGTGTAACAAGCCCATCGCTGGCCCCTCTGAGGCCACTCAGAGCATCGGAATCCTATTGGATGAGCTGGTGTGAGGGCTGCCTTTACATCAAGGCCTGGAGAAGACGTCTTGCCTCATGGGTGCCTGGTCCCTCTGCACAGCTGCAATGAACAAGACTGTTGGGTGATAATGGTCATGCCTACCTGAAGGGGAGGTAGCACAGGGCTGGTCTCCCACCATCAGTGAGAGGCCAGACTTGCCCCTCCTTCCTGCCTCCTGAAGTCTTCCCTGCTACTCAGTATTGAAAGCATCACCCATCGAGACCAACGTATCCTGGTACTGGATGATTTCCCTGCCTGACCCTGCTCTGGGGGAAGCACACAGTAGAGATAGAGACCGTATGACCACAAAGCCCTAGAAGAAGGGATGAGATGGGCTCTGTCCTCCCCTGTGCCCCCCTCCTTCCATCAGAAGGTTAGAAGGGAAGGAAGAAAAGATCAAGGAACCAAGTGCCTCCAGTGGAAGTGAGGGAGGCTCTGTAGGAAGTTAGGAAGAGCAGGGACATATCAAAGCAAAGTCAATGTTTACATGGGACCTATGGGAACAAAGGCTGGCTGGCCAGCCTGGCTACAGGATAACGGAGGGCCATCCCTCCCCCTGCTAGGGTCTGCGGTGCTATCCATTCGCTCTCTTCCTCCGTCAATCTCGGAGCTTCCTAGTCCACGTCGGAGTCTGAGTGCCCCTCTAGAGGAAGGGCTTGTTTTACACTCACACGGATTTCCAGGGGCTTTTTCTAAAGGAGCAAAGGGGGCCTGGGGAAGGGGGTGTCTGAAGGTGAAAGTAGCAACAGACACCTTCTTCCCCCTTGTAAATAGTATTTTTATACTTCATCCTCACCATCTCAGGATTTATATATGGAATGGAGGGGGTGGGGGTTTCCGTTCCTCCCCAGAGTGGGTGAGGGTGGGAGAAGGTATGTATTTAAAGAAAATTAAATTTAATAACAAGTTTCTCTAACCTTTTGCCTGTGGTTGTGGCCTGTGTCTGTTGGCTTTTTTCCACCAACAAGGAACAAAGTTCTGTAACTGCTGCTTCTCACTTCCCCACATTCAAATCAAGCACATACACACACACACACACACACACACACACAGTTTCCTAATCCTTAAAAAGAAAAATTGGCGATAGATTACTGACTGTACAGCACAGGTTGGGACTAATGTCAATGTACTTTATGACCTGAATAAGCCAGGCTCATTGGATTTCTAGAATATTTTTAAAGAAAGTTGGTTTCTGCCAACTAAGATGTAATAGAATTCTACTTGTATTTAAAGCTGTTGTGTTCTTAACGCAACCAAAAAGGTCTAGGTGGCTACCATGGAGGCTTGATCTCTTTTCCCTTATACTTTTTTCTTACCTATTAGCTGACAATCACTGACCTACCTTTCCCCATGCCACATCTGGAAATAGGACTTAACATTCGATGCCCCTGTGCACACTCAGATCTTGGACCCCATATCTTGCCACTTTGCTCTCTGTGTCCTAAGGGGGTCATGTGTCAATAATGGATATGCAAGATGGATTGAGAGTGGCAGGAACAACTGGGCTGTGGTCACCCTGCTTGGTGAAAGAGATTAGTGCCAATGGTCATCCCAGGGGGCAAGCCCTGGGTACTGTGTACAGGAGAAGCATTTGGAGTGGTGGGTCACGGGCATGCAAGAGATGCCCATGTGCCCAGAGGAGCCAGGCCCAGGAGTAGGTGACACCCTCACCCCTGCAATTGTACCATGGAGGCTCTCGGCACAGTCGGTGCTCATGTTAGACATCTCAGGTGCAGCTGGGGCATCTCAGTGGGGGACCTTTGCCTGAGGATGTGCCTGTTTTTGCCATTTCACACCTTCAGGGGTAATTCTATCTTCCTTAATGCCTCTATACCCGCTGCCTGCTGCTGCCAACCCTATGAGGCCTGGTCTTTCCTTCATCGGGGCACCACTTCTCCCTCCAGTCCTGCCAGCTTGCTTTAGTGTAGGAATAAAATGCATTTCCTAAGCAAAGCAAAGCAAAGCCCTCCCTCTAGCTCCTGCTGCAGGCGGGGAAGCCAGTGGTCTGCAGGCTGGCTTCATCTACAGGCTCCTCCCTCACCATTTCCCCTTCCTCTCAAGGGAAATCCAGGTTTGGCATGTTGTCATTAAAATGTTGGCACTGAAATGTCTGAGAGTTCAAATAGCATTGTCCTGGAATCAAAATGACAGTGTAAAGATGCCTTGTATTACTCTCAGTGCTTCAATACAGCTAGGCAGGATGGGACTCCAGAGAGGGGGAAACTAGGTATGTTTTGCCTGGTCAAATGTGAATTATTAGTAGCCAATCACAAGCTAAATAGTCCCAAATTTAGAGTCATTAGTGTGGTCTTGTTACTCAGGTCAGCATTCCTAGGGCTGCTGCCATCTGTGCCAGGCCCTGTGTGAGGGAACAATCCTTACCTTGGGAAAGGGTGCAATCACAGTATTTTGGGTCAGCAAGTTCGTTGTGGTAGAGAGAGACCCTTAACTCGGTGTGGAAATCCAGGACAGTAGGGGTTTCTGCAGGAAGAGGATACCTGAGCTGAGTCGTGAGAGTGATATGGACAAAAGTATCCCAGGATTCAACGGCCTGTTGTGTGCCAGAGAGTGCAAACAATTCAGTGTGGAGTTGTGCAGGGTGTGCTGTGTGCTGCCAGGAACCTCAGACTTGATAGACGGAGACTCCTAAAGTTTCTTTAGATCAGTCTTCTAAAAGATCTGGGCACCATCTGGGAACTAAGCCTATATTTTTCTTTGCACGAAATATTCATGGGCATCTACACGATACCTAGTACTGTTCCCATTACTGAAAAGGAGTTTGCATTGCAAACGTGTTTCAAAGGGGAACAGAACTGAAGGAAGCTAGCTGATAATCATGTGTACCAGATAATGAGCACCTAGCCACCAAGTTCTTTCACAAAAATACAATTTGCTTTCCTTTCAGTGTGTACCCCTCTGAGTTCAAGATAGAGTGTGGACAAAAGCAAATGAATGGCTTTCTCATAATTACACAGATAAGCATCAGCACCAAGGCACAAACCCAGATTGTACAGATCTAAGTTCAGTGTTAGCTTCGACAAACATAGCTTTGGAGGCAGGTTGTGTTCCTTGAAGATAAAGTAACAGGTTCTATAAGTCCTGGGCTGATGCAGCCATAAAGGACAAAGCCCCAGATAATCATCAAATGTTTTTTTTTTGCTTGCCATTATTTAGGACCATGGATTTTTTTTTTTTTTAACTCCACAGTGGGTTGTGTCTTTTAAAGAAACTTAAATGGATCAACCATTTACAAAGTTGGTGATTAAAGTGAAGGTGAGAAGCTCAAAGCAGAATTTGCAAATCACTGACTTTGATAGATTGGGACAATGGGTGTCTTGAAGAATTGGCCCTTCTGTTCCCCCTTCTCTCCCTCCCATCAATTTTTCCATTTCAATTCAAAGTCACCCATTTCTCTTCTGGCCTTTTTCCATTCTCACTAGGGCCTGTTAGGCCTCCCCAACTTTGCAATGGTTGACCCCCTAAGCTAAACCCAACCTCTGCCCTCCATTCTACCACCCTCTTCTGTCTGGGTGTCATAATATCTTTGATGACCTTGATCATATCCCTCACTCACAGGTGAATCTTCTGTTAAAACCAGGACAAACTGATGACCAGTTGTGCAGGCTTATACAACAAATGTCACTCATGAAAACAAGTTAAACTTGTTTTCCATGCCTCAGACCATCAACAGCACTGGATCCTCTCTATTTTTTTGAAAACATACCCATTCGATTCCTCCTGTGATAAACTGGCAAACTATATAGACAGTTCATGACCAAAGGTCACCTTTGGGCCTTGGCATGGCTTCTGATTCTGTCTCTATGTGACAGTCTCAACAACAAACTAGGGCATGTGCTCTGTAGATGAAGGGGAACTCCACAGCTCCAGGAGGCACAAGAATACATTTTGATGGGTCTTGTTTGCAGAAAAATAGACAAGCTATAAAAAGTTCCTGGAGTATTTTAAATCTGGATGATTAAGGCCCAAGAACTTGGTGGTGGTCTTTAATATTATGTTGTAAGCATGAATCTCCACTGCAAACTCAGACTTCCAGAAATGTATTGGTTTCTAACCTTTAAATTGCCCTTGACCTTTGAGCCACCCACTTTCTCCCCATCTGCAGTGCTCTTTCCTCTCAGAATAATTCACGAGTCTCAGTGACACAGATCAACCCTTCCTTCTGTATACACTCTAACCACTTGGCTGCCTGTTCTCTGAGTCCCCAAAGACTCCCCATCTATTATCCTGCCCAGTTTGCTGTGTGAGAAGCTGGTATAGGTGTCAAGGGCCCAGGCTGTCCAGGTCTCACACGGTTGTCTCTACTGATACCATCTCAGAATGCTACCTGGGAGCTAAGTTGCAGGTGCCTCCTATCCTTGGGACCTGCCACCTTTATTCTTCTCAGGTTGAAGAGTTGTAGTGTGAACCACCTGCATTCTACATTAAACATTTTGTTATATTTTATCCCATATCATCCATCTAGCTTTAATTAACTTTTTTAAATCCTCACCTGAGGATATGTTTTTTTTTATTGATTTTTAGAGAGACCTGGATGGAAGAAACATTGATCAGTTACCTCCCATACCTTCCCCAAGTGGGGATTGAACCCCAAACCTGGGTATATGCCCTGACTGGGAATCGAACCCACCAACGTTTCGTGTAGGGGATGATGCGCCAACCAACTGAGCCGCACCAGCCAAGGGCTAGTCAGTGTATTTTTCAATGCATTTCAAAGCAGGCTTCAGATACCGGTACACATCTTGTATTACATTTTACAGCTAACAACTTGTTTTGCAAGTGAACTGAGAACAATGAGAAATCTGCCTTAAAAATGAAGATATCCATTTTCCGATAACTTGCTGATAAATTCTGAAAAGTAGCTACGACTTCAGGGCGATTTTAGAAAGAACTCAGGTCTATGGCCACAGCACCCTGAACGCATCCTATCTCATCTGATCTTGTCAGCCAAGCAGGGTTGGGCCTGGTTAGTATTTGGATGGGAGAAAGAACTCAAATATGAAATCATTTTACATTTAAAATGTGGCGATGGTGCTAAAGGGTTCTTCACTGCCTCTGATAACTTTTCACTTTGCTAAATTATGTGTTGTGTGTCAAGGGGGAGGGGGGCGTGCATCATCAACAGTGTAGGACACCTACCCTTACTACACATATTAACCATGGAATATTGCTTGCACAATTAGCCATGGAATATTTCTGCTTTGGACTTTTTCCACACCCTAAATTTAGCAAGCTAGAATTATCTTTTAAAAACCACTTTAAGCAACCTTTTTGAAAGGAAAAATGCCTACAGAAGGGAGTCTGCATTTCTTTGTGGCTAGAATGCAATGTCCTCGACTTAATTATTCTGCAAAGAAGCAAATTTTTCCTTTATTATATGTTGAGAATATGGCAAAGCCAGCAATCCAGCAAATTCATTACAGGTTTGTGAGGTTAAAAACACATATATTCAGGTTGAGAAACAGGCATCCTGCTGTGTGTGATCTGGCAATTGTAAGCCCTGAATTGTGTAATTGCCTAAAATGTGCCAGGCGGGTTTCATTATTTAAAAGAATTATGTTGCCCAGCGGGCGTGGCTCAGTGATTGAGTGTTGACCTATGAACCAGGAGGTCATGGTTTGATTCCCAGTCGGGGCACAAGCCCTGGTTTCGGGCTTGATCCCCAGTGTGGGGTGTGCAGGAGGCAGCCAATCAATGATTCTCTCCCATCATTGATGTTTCTATCTCTTCCTCTCTGAAATCAATGAAATATATTAAAAAATAAAAAAGAATTCTATGTTGAGTCTTTAAATAAGATCTAAGGACTTTTTTACTTTTTTATTTAAATTTGTGTTTCTTAAAGAGACGTACCTATAGAATACAACAGAAGTAATTTCT